GTTTAATTATTCAGTGTTCCGCAACTCCCGATTGTGTTACTCACGCGTGATTTTTATTCAGCCCAGAACACGTGACTCTCGCGTGTACCTAACGCCTGGCTTTTGTCCTTAACTGCGAAACACGGGTGTTATTTTTTAAATTTTAGAAAACAAACGTTCCATTTTCTGACAATCTTTTCAGGGACAACCTAGTCTACATGTGTCATTCTAGTGCCAAGTGATTGAATGTTTTCCCTGCTACGATATCATGCCTTTTTTTTTTTTTTTTTTTTCAAAAAAGTATGCAATCTGCACTCTTATGAAAAATCCGAATTATGAGGGGAGCGATGTAACGGGCAATATTTATATACGACAGGTGGTGAGTGAAAGTGTTTTGAAAGTATTTTGAGTGGTAAATACATGTAATATTTAAATGCCGATTGCCCTTTTGTTGGTAAATGTTTTTTCAGAATGCCTTAGTGCGCCACGATTCGTGGATTTACTACAACAAATTTTGTAATCAGACCAATGTGAACGCATATATCGGCGTACCATTTCCAATTGCGTCAAATTTATATATTTGAAGAATTCCAAGCATATTATTGAAAAACAAATCATTTTCAGGATTCGGAAAAGAGTGAGATCAAAATTGAGCTGGAAGGACTGAGTGCCCACAGCTCGCATGGGTTTCATGTACACGAGAAGGGCGACCTCAGCGATGGGTGCGAGTCAACAGCTGGCCACTATAACCCATTTGACATGGATCATGGCGCCCCCACCGACAAAATCAGGTAAATACAAACTTCAAGAAGTATTGTCTACATTGCGAATAAAAAAAGAGACAGTACAATATATTGTAATTTGGGAATAGTAAACTTGACGTTTTATGTATTTTCCCAGACATGTCGGTGACCTTGGTAACATAGTAGCGGACGCTAAAGGACGCGTATCCACTATAATCACTGATGATCAGATTTCCTTGGTGGGAAGCTACTCTATAATTGGAAGAGCGTTCGTGGTATGTACTCGCATCATTGCCAAATAATGTATTAGTATAAGTTGCCCAGTTAGTTACCGTGCCCTTAAACATGTACGTCTTCGTTCAATACAAATACCGGTTGGTACGGTAACTCATTATTACATTTTAGAAATATTTTAGCGGTCTGAGATTACGGTACACTTGTATTCGCTCAGCCCGTTTTTTTTCTTTCTGGCTTCTATGCTTCGGAGAAACGACCACTCCACACTTTTGCCTCTTGCGTCTCGAGTTTTTATTCTTAAGATTTGATATTGAATTCTGAAATACACTTCCCGTACACATTCCTGGTGTAGATTTTAGTACAATGTATGTTGACATCGTCACAGAAATGTCATATCACTCAAACGAGTAATGCATACTGGAACGGGGTAAAATGAAACTGACAGTGTAAAAGGTTTAATGACTCGGTTTCTATTTTGTACTCTTGCGTGTGCAATGCTTAATTTAAGGGGGCGATTATTTTTGATTGAGCACTCAGTGAGGTATTGCATTGCCTCAGAGAAGAAATTAATTTCTGGTTCACTTCAGTTAAGACTGTACTTCAAACTGAACACGCATTCAAGTAGGCATTGGGTTTCGTTCTAGTAATATATGCTGTTTATTTGGCGTTGAAATACTAAACACTCTTTACCCACAGGCTTGTTAAAATGGCTCATATAGACGTATACAACGCGTGTAAAGTACATTGTTTTTTTACATGAAAATCGAAAATGCTGTCTTTGATTTTATTGGTGCAACTCGTTGTTAAGATCATCAAATTTGAATAGAAGGATTGATTTATTTATTTGCAATAGGTGCACGAGGGAGAAGATGATCTTGGGAAAGGTGGCGATGAAGGCAGTAGAACAACAGGAAACGCTGGTAAAAGAATGGCTTGTTGCGTTGTGGGCAGAACCGATAAATCCGAGGACTAGACTTACTGTATCCATTGCATCGAGTTATTCGATCATAATAATTGAACCACATTTTTTTTAGTTATTTCATTGTTTAATCACAGTTGTTTTTTTACCTCAGACAAGTAATACATTTATTAGTTGTCCGAGTTCTTACCAATAACATAAGCGTCTTTGTTTATATCCACCCTTACCAGTATTATTACATAAACTGCACACAGTAAGCCTATGTACATGTTATAATAAAATTAAATGCGATTCATTCATCGATATTCACTACATAGGGCAGCCATTTTTTATACAGCTCGAAACTAAATGGAAGGACAAATTGAGAAACCAAGCTTTTACAATCAAACGCTCCGTTAGGGTAGCATTAGGCCAACAGTTAAAATTCGTCGTTTTTGCGTGAACAATAATCACCTTGCATACGAACACCTTATTTTGAAGGACCTAGAACATTTTACCGGGGTATTTGAAACCGAATTCATTTATTTCACAGCTGACTGTGGTACTGAAGTAAACTAGGTTGCACACAATCATAATCCGCCTATTCATTTGCTATTTAAGTAGTGTCTTATGAATATCTTCATCCACGCTACTTGTTTTGCTTTCAAGGCACATTTATTTTAAATTGTGACGAAGCATTCCTGTGACGTAAATGGATGACACGAAAGCCACTCAAAGCATTGGTAGCGTTTTAATCCACCAATGAAGATTGTTTTTGTTTTTTTATTACGAACGTCTTCACAACTACAGTTGTCGAATTTACTTCACTTCATCCATATATGTCACGGTTTTGACGTTTATTAAACCCAGGTTTGAATATTGTTTTATTCCATTCTATATTACCCTTGATGTGTCGTTCCTAATTGGCATGACTTAATATTTATCACAAACCACGTGACAGGTTTTTTAATCACTTTGATGGTGGGGGGACTGAACTGAGTACAAATAAGTAAGTAAGCCAAACAGCCCGATCCTAAAATGGCAATTATATTTGATAAAGATAACTTTCGAATGAAAAGAAACTTCAGAATACTGTAGACATCACATTAATGTATACATTGCAAACTCCGATCTAACTCGATTTTTTGAGGCGGTTCATGGCCACGTAAAACTAACTAATGTGAATTTTCTCTTTCAGAACGGCTTTGAATACTAAAATATTACGATAACCTTCTTTGTAAAACTAATATGTTGTCCACATAGATTATGATGAGTAGAATGTGTTTTTTGTTTTATATCGTTAACTATAATAACATATTCACTATAATGACATTAACAGAACTTTATTGAATCATCGAAAAATCGCTAACATTTTAAAATCATAAACCTGTGTTTACATATCAGAAAATAATAAGTTGAAATATAAAAACACTTGATTGCTGGGTTTATCATAGGTCACCATGACAACTCAAATAACAAATGTATTTGGAAGTATTTATAAACGTACAGCTACACTGTGTAACTATAAGAAGAAGCTTACATCAACATATTATAAAATCGTATATATCATTGGAAAGTCAATTTTCTCCTATTCTACTCAACTAGTCCCACAATCCAACTAAATCAAAAAATGATATGTTCTTATCTATTGTCCAGGATAACGGCCAAACGAATTTTTGTATAAGATGATTCGTATCCAAAACTCATAAATGAGAGTTGTCATAAATTTATAATATGTTAAAGTTACACTTCAAGAATTATATTGAATTGATAAATAAAAATGTGAATAATATTCCGTATATTAAATAATATGTAATATGTGTCTTTTATGGATTTTCGCAGTCACATGACCTCGTTCAATTGTGATATTTGCATGAGGTATATGTACTGTGTTAGTATTAGTATATACGGAATACGTAGACAGATAGACTGGGAAAGTATACCAAGGGACAATTACTGATTATTAATTTTAATATTGCACATTTTGTCTTTATATTCATCTGAAGTGTGTCACGTGACTATAGATAAGACATTAATTATCAGTAATAGTAAATTTCCCCCATGAAATAATATTGAATTCACCAAAACAAAATATATGATTTATGTATATTTCGAATATAAAAAAAAGTATGTTTAACAAAAATTCAAGTCAACTAGATTCTACTCAAGTTTCTTGTAATTTTTAATACGGTATCGTCTAAATGTGATGGAAAATGAAATACAATATAGTATTTCATACAATGGAATTGCAAAAGCCCAACTAACAACTT